CATAAAAGTATGGAATAAAACTTTTTGTTTAAAGTTTTTTTTTCAAGAAAATTAATTTTTAAATTCACAGATACATATATGACTGACTTTTGTATCATTCTGTGATTGATTAGTTTTAAATGTTCTAAATTGAATTTAATAAATGTTTATAAACATTCACAACAATATATATTACACAAAACAATAAGTGTGTGTACATTAATTGTTTTTTATGCTATGGATATTGCTTTCTGAGATTTATGAGTGTAAAGTGTATTTTTAAAAAAATTGTTCTCGTCATTTCGTCAATATATCAGCTTTACAGAGAGTCGGATTCGAACCCCGCCGTCGTATACAGTTTCATTTAATTAATTAAAGAAAAAAAAGGAATTTTAATCTATTTTCATTTGCAAATTTTTCAAATTCATGTAGTGTATACAGTGTTAAGGTACATTTATTTTAAAAGTCACCGTTCTTGAGATATTCCACTTTGTTCATCCTCTTACTTTCATTATGAAACATGTTCGAAGCAATAAATGTATCTTACATTTATATTCAGAATTCGCTATTCTATCAAATTTGATAATAAAAAATTTAATTCTATTTAAAGAAAAAAACAAAATTAACTTCCAGATCTCCTCTAAACCTCCACTTCTAAAAAAACTATTACCACTATGTTATGTCTTTCTTGCAACCATTCAGATGGACAGAGTTGATGGGACATCCCGTATTTATGATCAATTAGTAGTCGACGCTTTTAACATTGATCGAATTACTTAAAAATCAGATAATAAGGAATAATATATTACATTAATTAATTTGTCAATTTGTGTACAAAAATATACATTACAAAAAAACTTTTTAGTGTAATTTCACTATTTATTTTTATCTTACTTATGTTGTTTTTTTTTTTAAATATGTAATTGTAATAATGTTTATAGAATTTTTATACATGTCAAAAAATATTTAATCACTTATAACTACTGTTAATAGAAATTTACCAAGTATTGAAATATTTATGGCTGATAGTGCATGTAATAATTTGTTCATTATATAATATTGACAACTTATTTTTGTGAGATATCCGAATTTTATTCTAATTATAAATTAACACCAATTGACTGAAGATATTTTAATTTTTCGTTCCGCCAAAAATGATCCGCCAATATATGTACATAGGTTTTGTTATGTTATATCTATGTATACATGTTATGTATAATGGTTTTGTATTGAATGTTTCTTTTATTACTTTTTTAAAAAA